GAATGAAGTACAGGTGGGATATACATGTATACCTCCCTTGCGGATCCCTGCATCCTGCGTGCAAATTTCCCAGGCTTTCATACGATAGATTTTGTGGGCACTGACACAAGTGCGTGCACGCACACACACACACACACACACACACACGAGTCTGTTTTATACCAGTTGGAAAAGAGGCTGGATAAGAAAGAACAACAAAGAAAAAATCACACTCACAGTCAAGCGTTCTCACAGCCCCTCTCTCGGGCGGTGATTTGGCCTGGCATTATGTAAGATCTCACAAAAGCTGTATAACATAACTATTTTAAGGAAGAATGTTAATTGAAGGCTGAGTCAGGCTGCAGCTAGTACAGAGATGTTTTTGAGAAGCTCGTACCCTTTTTCATTTCGTCTGTATTTTTTCCACTTAATTACAACGTGTGCGGAACTGCGTTTAACAATAATAGTAACTCGCGGGGGGAAAATGGATGATGAAGGCAGTTGCCCTCTTGCCTCTGGATCAGCAATTGAAGCCCATCCTGGGACCTCACTACCCGGTGGTTATCACCCCCCGACGGCTGCATGGGGCCAAGTGGGAGGTGAAGCAAGGGGCTTTCGTGTGGCCTGGGGGCCAGTCCTTGCAGCCATTTCCCCCATCAGTGCACTTTCCAAGGGATGTGGAGGTGCTTGCCCATGTCCTCTGCCTCCACCGGGCTCCACCAGCAGAGCAGGGAGCTGAGAGGCAGCTGCTGGGCTCGTGATGCATCGAGGGGAGACAGAGAGAGGGGTGCTGAGGGACACCTGGCTGGCACCCCCAAGGGGGTGGGCAGGCCGTGAGACCCCTGAATCAGCATCAAGCGGTGGCTGCACCAGTGCAGGCGGCTGCTCCTCGGGCATGATGCGCCCCGGCAGCTCCCATTACCAAGGTCACCGGTCCTTGGTCCCAAATCCAGCCCCATCTGGGGACAAGGTGATCAGCAAGCCCCAGCCCTTGGCAAGTTGCTTTAATGATCCAAATCCGGAGGAGGAGACGGAGTTTAATTGCCAGTTCTAGCATGGGCACACCGGTTATTAATTTTGCTGCAGTTCTTTTTATCACACAACAACTCAGCTGTGCTTCCTGGCAGGCACCTCCTTCTGGAGCCCAGCGTGAGCGACTGGATGTAGGTGCCTGGAAAAGGGATGTGTTTGATTTTTGGGGCTCCTCTGAGCTCACCCAGTGGGGTTGTAGGGTGATGATGGGGGCCCAGGAACAAACTTCATCTGCATTTATGGTTCCTCAGATTTGGGTCCGCTTCTGTTAACTCTATTTATGTAGCAAAATTGAGATATTTTGGCTGCAACGACTGGCCTTGTGGAAACCCCAAGGTCTGCAGCACCAAAACCCACCTTTCCATGTGTCGTGGAAATAAACTCCCCAGAAGTGGCAGAAAGCAACTGTGAGGCCAAGCTCCCCAAGCTGCCTGAGAGATGCTTCAGTGCACGTTTCCTCTGCGTCCTTTTTGCTGAGACAAAAAGCAAGGAGGTGAAACACAGGCAGGGAACGAGGCTTCAGCCAAGGGAGTTTCACAGACCTCCGTCACTCTTCCAGCAGATGGTCTGCTCCCGCTGTGCAATGCTTCCCACCAGGTCCTTCTCCTCGCCCGGTTTTCGGAGGGCGCCCGTCAAGCTGCATCGAGCAGAGCTGCTCGCTGGTGTCGCCGAGGGGTCACGGCTCCCCGGCCTTCCTGTTTATTTAGGGCTGGGGTCGCCCGGCCGGCCGGCCACGCTGCGCACCCCAGGAAGCCCCCGGCCTGCACATTCCTGCCCCCCTCGCCCTCGCCACAGACAATCACCCATTGTGGCTGGCGGTGTCAATGGGATCGCCCGACATGCCTATTTACCACGCCGGGGAGAGCGGGCGGAAGCTTTTCCACATCAATTGCCCTTTCTTCTGGCATCTGGAAGTGTCCCTCTGAAGTTTTTATTTCTCTTCGGAGTGTAGTAACCTCCGAATTTCTCAAGTATTTCCATCATCTTTTCCTTGACTTTTTTTTTTTTTTTCCACTGCTACTTGAAAAGAGGGCGTGAAGTCAACTGCTCAGTTAAAAACAGAATCGTTTCCTTTTTATAAAAAAAAAAAAAAAGCATACAATTTTTTGCTCTAAATCGCCTGGGGCAGAGCCCACCAAGGCAGCAGGAGCTGCAGCACCCAGGCTCTTGCTCGCAGTGCGGCGCCCTGCTAACTAGCCCCAAACTTCTGGAGCAAAAATCACGGCGAAATACCCACAGGATGGCTTTGGGACCGCCACCTACATGAAAGCAGGACATCACCTGCGCTGCTGTCTGAATGGCACACCTCACAAAGCGTACACAAAATGGGTGTGTGTGCTGTATGGGGGGGTTCTCTTTCGAAATGACAGATCATTTTAAATGAAAATCAGATTTTTCACTGCTTCTAAAATGGCCACCAACAGCTCGCTGTTACAGACAAAAATGAGCAGCTGTCTACAAGCAAGAGATGGCAGCTGCTCGGTTCAGGGGCTCTTGAACGAGGGGACACATGCGGTCGCTGCCACCAGCGGGACGGGAAATGAGACCCCATGGGGAGGCAGGAGCGGGGAGCACAGCAAGACTTGTCTGCAGCCCAGCCCAAAATGCCAAAAAACACAGGGTGAGAAGGGGCACTTGGTGGCATTGGTGGCGCTGGCAGACGGAGCTCATCTTGCCTGGCTCCAACTTCTCTCCTGTCCTTCCCCCAGCCACAACACCAGGCACAACCAGGGCAGGACACAGGGCTGGGTCCCCAAATGTGCCGTGTCGGGGGTCCTCGGCTGGGCACTGCCCCGGCCCTGCATGCCCCCAGGTCCCCCCCAGCGCTCACTGCTCCTATATATCCTATATATAGCCCTGCCGTGTCATCACAAGGGGCGTTTTGCACAGATCAGGCACAACAGCATGGTTTCTGTTTCTAAAAAAAAAAAAAAAAAAAAAAAAGAACAAGAAACAAATGCCCGATCTGTTTGATTCTTGCACAGTAACTGCTGTAACAGCAGCTCTGAGGATTTTTTTTTTTTTTTGCGATTTGATACTTAAACCACATTTCCTACGCCACTATTTTTTATCGGCTGCTTGACATTGAGCTCTGTAACGGTTGCTTTTGCCTCTTCCACCAGAATGAATTCAAAGGCAGGGAGTGCAGCAAACCGTACCGCTCATCTCGGCTCTTCCAGCCAGCTCGTCCTCATCAGAAATAAAGTCAAATAAATACAGATCACATTTTCTGTCCTGCAGTTAAAAGCCTGCCACCGCTGAAAGCTTCGCTTTCTTCTTCTTCCCCTGCAGCCTCAGCTAGCATCGAGCTGTGCTCATGAGCTGCGATGTGCAAACACACAGCTTCTTGGCTTTCCACCAGTATATATAAATATATGTAATTTTTTCCTTCGGAGAACCTGGAGGCTAAAGCAAGAGGGCAAAGGAGTACGTGACTAAAACATCCAAACTTCCTCTTTCATAAGCCATCACATGATGAAGTGCAATTACAATTCCTGCCTTGTCCCTGCCAATTGCAGGCGCATTGCCTCACCCGAGAAACCCGGCTTCTTCCCCGTGTGTGTGTGTGTGTGTGTGTCTGTGTGTGTGTGTGCAGAGGCAGCAATCGCTGCAGCCGCCTTGGCACGCCTCCAGCTCCGGGCTGGAGAAAGAGGGCAGTGGGTGGAAGACGAAAACAAGCTCTGTTTACTTAGCGTGCACGGATAAAGCGTCTTTCCAGCCGGGGAGAAGGAGGAGGAGGAGGAGGGGAAGGGAAGCAGCTTTACAGGACTTTGATGCAATGTGAAAGGAGGCCAAAACCGAGCCGCGTTAACCCCCGCGGCCCCGGGGTCACCCCACACGGGGATGCCCCGTGCCCCGCGTCCCCCCCCAGCTCCCCCGGAGCCCCGGGCATCTCCCGGCCGGGCTCTGCGCCCCGCCGCCCCCCGGCGGCCGAGCCCGTCGGAGCTTCCCCGGCCGGCCCCCGGCTGCCGCCTCCCTCCCCCGTAACCTACATAACGCCGTGGGAAGGAGCGGGGAGGAGTGGGGTGGGAGCGGGGGGCAGCCCCGCCGCCCTCACCCCGCCCGGCCTCGCCTCGCCTCCCGGGCAGAGCCCCCCCTGCAGCCCCGTGTGGCGGTGGGGAAGCAGGAAAATGTCGGCTTTTTGTGTACATACATCTATATAAATACACGTAGGGGGCTGAGGGCTCGGCGTCTGCACCCATTGCGCTCCCCTCGCGGCGGGGTTTGTGGTTGGAAGCGCCGGGATAGCGGGAGGGCCCCGTTCTCCCTGCGCGCAACGGCGGCAGCGAGCACCCATCAATAAATAAAAACACACGAAAAAGGGGGCGATGGCGGTGTTATTCACCCATTTACAGCGGCCCCAAATAAACCGGGCAGCCCGGGGCCGGCCCCGAGGGGCGGCGGTGCCCGGGTGCCGGGGCCCGGAGCCCGCTGCCCACCAGCCCCGGAGCAGCCCCCGGAGGAGCCCCCGGGGCCGGGGCCGGGGGCGCGGGCAGGGGCAGGGGCCGGCGCCGGGAGCGCGGCGGCGGCGGCGGCGGCGGCGGGGCGGGGGCGCGCAGCGCGCAGGCGCGCCCGGCACTGTCGAAGAATCGAGGCGGCGGCGCGCAGAGGCGGCGGTGGCGGCTGGAGCCCGGCACGGCGCGGCGCCGCCGCCAGCCCCAGCCCCAGCCCCAGCCCCGGCCCCGGCCCCGGCCCCCGCGGCAGTCCCCGCCCCGCCCCGCCGCGCCGCGCCGGCCCCCGCCGCCCCGCGCCGCCCCGTAGTAGCCAGCGAGCGGGGGAGCCGTGCGGGCGGCAGCGGCCGCAGCCCTGCGCCAGCCGCGCCGCGGAGATGCGCGTCCCCGCCGCGCTGTGAGCGCCGCCGGCGGAGACGGCCCGGGCAGCGGCGGCCCCCGCAGCGGCTCTGCCTGCCGGGGGCAGCGCTCGGAAGACGAAGCCGAGGGGGAGGGCGCCGGGCGGACCGTGCCGCTGCGCCCCAGCCGCCCCGTCGGGGCTCCGGTGGCGAGAGGAGGCGGCGGCGGCGGAGGAGGAGGAGGAGGCGGCGGCCGGAGCCGGAGCCGGAGCCGGAGCCGGAGCAGAAGCGGGGGGCGCTCGCCGCTGCCCCGGGGCCGGGACATGTCGTCGGCGGCGGTGGCGGCTGCTTCCCGCAGGCAGTCGTGCTACCTGTGCGACCTGCCCCGCATGCCCTGGGCCATGATCTGGGACTTCACCGAGCCCGTGTGCCGGGGCTGCGTCAACTACGAGGGCGCCGACCGCGTGGAGTTCGTCATCGACACGGCGCGGCAGCTCAAGCGGGCGCACGGCTGCTTCCCCGAGGGCCGGGCCCCGCCGCCGCCGCACGCCAAGCAGCCGGCGCTGTCCGCCAAGGAGCTGCTGGCGCAGCAGCAGCAGCAGCTCGGGCACCCGGCGGCCGCGGCGGCGGCGGCGGCGGCGGCGGCGGCCGAGGCGGCGGCGCGGCCCCCGCCGCAGCCCCTGGAGCGCTACCCGCTGGCTGCCGAGCGGCCGCCGCCCCGCCTGGGCGCCGAGTACGGCGGCGGCCGGCAGGTGAACGGCATCCTGGTGCCCAACGGCTTCCCCAAGCCCGAGGAGCCGCCCGAGCTCAACCGGCAGAGCCCCAACCCGCGGCGGACACACGCCGTGCCGCCCACCCTGGTGCCGCTGGTCAACGGCGCCGGGCTCCCCGCCGCCATCGGCAGCCTGGGCAGCCGCGCCGCCGCCGCCGCCGCCTCGCTGGCCGCCATCTCGGCCGCGCCCGCCCCGCTGGCCGTGCCCGTGCCCCAGCAGCCGGCGGCGGCGGCGCAGGCGGCGGCGGCGGCGGCCGGGGGGGGCGGGCAGCCCGGCGAGCTGGGGCACAAGCGGCCCGGCTCCGTCTCCTCCTCGTCCTCCTCGTCGGGCGGCGGCGGCGCGGCGGGGGAGCACGACGGGGGAGCCAAGGAGAAGCGCGGCTCGGCGGAGAGCCTGCCGGCGGCGGCGGCTGCAGCAGCGGCGGAGCTGGGAGCCGAGGGCAAGGGCCGAGCGGGGGGCGAGGAGTGGCTGGCCAAGCCCAAGACGGTGCGGGACACGCTGCTGGCCCTGCACCAGCACGGCGGGCACGCCGTGCCCCCCTTCGACAGCAAGTTCAAGAAGGAGCCGGGCATGGCGGGCGGCCGGCTGCTGGGCTACGAGACCAACGGGGCCGTGGCCAAGCCAGGTGAGGCGCCGCGGGCACCCGGAGGTGGGCTCAGGGTGGCATTGGGCTCGGGGTGGCGTGGGGCATGGGGCGGCTTTGGGCACGGGGTGGTGTGGGGCGCAGGGTGGCTCTGGGCATGGAGTGGCTTCAAGCACGCGGTGGCCAGGCGTGCCCGCCAACGCCGACACCTGGACGCTTTCACGGGGTTAGCGTTGCAGCTGCGATGCCTTCTAACCTTCCTCCTCCTCCTCTCCGCCTTGCTTTCCAGGGGCCCGGGCAGCCCGGAAGAGGAAGCCGTCCCCCGAGCCGGAGGGCGAGGCGGGACCCCCGAAGATCAACGGGGAGGCGCAGCCCTGGCTGCCGACCTCGTCGGAAGGGATGAAGATGCCGCTGACGGCCACCTCCTTCATGTCGCCCCCGCCGCCCACCGCCTCGCCCCACTCCAACCGGACCACGCCGCCCGAGGCGGCCCAGAACGGCCAGTCCCCCATGGCCGCGCTCATTTTGGTGGCGGACAATGCCGGGGGCAACCACGCCTCCAAAGAGGCCAACCAGGTCCACTCCACCACCAGGAGGAACAGCAGCAGCCCCCCCTCGCCCTCCGCCATGAACCAAAGAAGGCTGGGCCCCGGCAGGGAGGTGCCGGGCCAGGGGGCCAACGCGGCGGGCGGGCTGGAGCCCGTGCACCCCGCCAGCCTGCCGGACTCGTCCCTCGCCGCCAGCGTCCCGTTGTGTTGTACCCTGTGCCACGAGCGCCTGGAAGACACCCATTTTGTGCAGTGCCCCTCGGTCCCGTCCCACAAGTTCTGCTTCCCCTGCTCCCGGCAAAGCATCAAGCAGCAGGGAGCCAGCGGGGAGGTGTATTGTCCCAGTGGGGAGAAGTGTCCCCTGGTCGGCTCCAACGTCCCCTGGGCCTTCATGCAGGGGGAGATCGCCACCATTCTGGCCGGAGATGTGAAAGTCAAAAAGGAGAGAGACTCGTGACTTTGCCGGCCTCGCGGCCCGACGCCACCTTTAACTCAAACTGCTTGAATTCTGTATATATCTATAAATATATATATATAAATATATATATATCTCCAAGACAAGGGAAATGTAGACTTCATAAACATGGCTGTATAATTTTGATTTTTTTGAATACATTGTGTTTCTATATTTTTTGAAGACAAAAGGTATGTACTTATTATAAAGGCATTTCTTCTAATTCTTCTCCTTTTTTTTCCCTTTTTTTTTGTTTCCCCCCCTTTTTTTTCCTTCCCTTTTGTTATAGCAACTATTTGTTGTGCTTCCCTGGTGACAGTTACTGTTCAATGTAGGCTGTGACTTGCGCTGCTTTTTTTAGAGAGCACTTGGCAAACCAGAAATGCTTCTAGCTGTATTTGTATGCACTTGTTTCTTTTTTTTTTTCTTTTCTTTTTTTCCTTTTTTTTTTTTTTTTAAATGCCAAATACACTTTCTGACATTGTAAAGATCGCCTTACTGTCTGTGATTCCTTATTCCTGGCCCCTGTTTCTGTAGAGCTGGTCGCATGCAGGCTCGGTCCGAGGTGGTTGGGGAGCAGCGTGGCTAGCCGTGGCGGGGACGCTCTTTGCCACCCCGCGAGCCAGGCGAGCGTAGGGAGCACGAGGGGTTTCTCCCAGAAACGGCTGTCTCGTGTTGCGGCGGCAGATCCGCCGGATCGAGTCCAAAATTCCTCCGTGTTTCTCAAGGGAAGTTGCCTTCGGAGTAGGATGTGGAGAGGTGTCTGAGAGGCGCTGTTGAGTTAGGGATTTCTGGGTTGGTTTGTTTTTGTTGTTCTTTTTTTTTTTTTTTTTTTTTCTTTTAAGGCAAAGTTGACCGCAGTTCACGTGATCAGTTGTAAGATTACAAAACTGCATTTGTTCACCAATTGCATACTATAACGTGGAGTTTTGATAGCCAACCTAATGACACGATTGGTGAATGCACCGACGTAGCACTGCCATCTCTGAAGGTCTTCAGCGTCACTTAAGTTGTTTTTTTTGTGTCTTTGGACAATGATGGGGATGTGTGGGAGAGACTGATTTTTTTTTTTTTTTTTCTAATTTTACTTTTAATTTTCAGATAGTGCAGGTGGACTTTGAGTTTGCTTATCAGTCACCTCTGGTGCTGTTGCTATTGTTACTATCGCTGACATGGTGTTTCCAAGTAGTGGCAGGTACAGTGTGGTACAATGACAGCAGCGACTGAGGTTCTGCCAGATTGCCTGCGGGCATATCAGTGACAGCCCAAATGTGGGTGGAGGAAACCTGTAATTTCCTTATTACGTGTGCTTGAAACAAACCTAATGCTATTCTTTGAAAATGAAAATATAAACTGGTTGAAATGAAAGCAATTAGGGCTTCACATCATGGCCACGGCCCTGCCTTTTAAGCTACTTTGGAGAACTCTTTTGTAAAGCCACTTCTTTTGATCACGCTTCTGCATCACCAAGCAGACTTCTAAAATCAATAAATCATTGGTTACTAGAAATAGTTGAGTCTTATAGTGATGTTTTTGTGCTGTTTATAGTTCGTTGGCAACACTGCAGCTGGACGAGCCCTTCTGTTGAGGTGTTTATAACTGGGTTATAAGTGGTTGTTTCTGAGCAAAGGGGTGGCCAGGTCGTCCCTTCCCTGGGACAGGCTAATAAACACTCTTGGTGCTAGAGGAGGAGGAGGAGAAGGAGGAGGCAAAATTTGTTCAGCCGACTTTAATTTGAAGAATTTTGGGTGCTTTTGAGTCAACTGTTCTTATTGTGATAATGTTCAGACTGCAATTTAATGCAGAGTAGATCTTTTTTGGAAGACTTTTTTTTTCTCTCTCTAAAGAAATGGTCATTATTAGTATTTGAAGATCAGATCTGCACATGCACAGTAATTTTTTATGAAGTGTTTAATGAGCACACCCACTACATTGTGTTCCATATTACAGGTCAATGTAATATTAGATAAGACTTGCATGATAAACAAATTCATTGAGTCAATATTACGCTTTAAAACTTATACCTATAGTCAAGATTGGTGTCTTATGTAAACACATTTAGCCAATTTGAAGAAAACGCACATTATATATATATATACCTATATATATACCTATATATATAAAAACTGTAAAGGATTCTTTGGAACCACTATGATCTGTGTAAATGTGTATTTAGGCACTTTATTAAAAAAGAAAATGGATTTTGAGCTGATAGATGGTAACAAGTTCTTCAAAGTTGCTTGGCATAATACCTCCTGTGGTATGGAGCTCATGTTTTTGGTTAAGGTGGTATCCCTACTTTCAATCCAAAACCAAAACCGAAACCCCGACACCTTCCTACAGAGGCCCCCCTTTTGTGCTATGGGGCAGCCTGGTGTGCAGCCTGGTGAGGGCTGGGCCTGCTCCCGACAAAGCAGGGCCTCGCTGGGGCCCAGTGGCACCCCCGTGACCTTGCCCAGGCCCAAAGGCCATGCACCCTCCTCCCAACACAGGCTCTGGTGGCACCCTGGGGTGGAGGGGACGGTGGGAGGCCCCGGGCCCACGGCCCAGTGCCTGTGCTGGCTCAGCTGGCCCACAGGCCTCCTGCCTCCATTCTGTCTGGTCCTGGTCACCCTGAAACTGCAGAAGTGCAAAAGGAAACAAAACATTCAGAATCTGAGGGTTTCCATGCATACCTTGTTTTTCTCAAATTCAGCATTGCTTTTTGCCTTTCTGTTGCTTTACTCAGTTCCAACACCCGTGGATTCTCCATTTCTACCAGTTCACTCTTTCCTGGGCTACAAGCTTTTTTCTTCTTCTTCTTCTTTTTTTTTTTTTTTTCTTCTTTTTCTTATTTTGAAATGCTTTAACTGCAACAGTGCTACTGTTAATATTACTTTTTAAACTTTTTAAAAGGTGATACTGTAATTTGTGTAGTATTAAAAGTGTTTTAATGAAGAATGTGTGATTTTTTTTTCCCCCCCCAAACCCACTTTCATCCCATTTTTTAAAAGATCTATATTTTTTGCTGGGAGGTCACCTGCATGGTGCTTTTGTTCATAGCTGATAAAGTCCAATGGTGCAATTTTTGCATAATTTTTTCCCCACTCCTTGCACTAAATACAGGAAACTAAGAGCTTTAAACACTTCTTGTGCTTTCTATATATATTAAAAAAAAAAAAAAAAAAAAAAGCAAAAGCTATAGTTGCCTAAGTGCAATGTTTTGTTTTATTTTTTTTAGCTACTACTTCTGACATTTATTTGTAGATAGGCCGAAGCACGGGGCAAGAGGCGGGGCGGGGGTGCGGAGCCCCCGGGCGGGAAGGCACAGCACAAGGGAGGCTTTGACAGCCTTTGTGGTGGCCTCAGGAAACCTGGTCTGTTTTGGAGCTCCCTTTTTAGATGCGCTGTAAACCAGGCCATGGCAACCGCGTGTTTTTATGAAGTAGCACTTAGGAAAAGGGTATAAATACATTTGAGAGTGCTCTCTAGTGGTTTATTATGTCAACAGAGCCCCTGGATCCTTTCCTTCTGTGCCCGGGCCAGCCCCACTCGCCCTGCTGGCGGGGTGGCCGTGCTCAGTGGGATGCTGCTTGGGGACACCCTGGGGGGCGGCTCACCTGCGTGGTGGCACCCGGGCCCTGCTGTGGGCACGCTGTGTGGTGGTTGGGTCTGGGGTTGTTAGGGCATGGCTGCTGCTGGCACGGGGAAGCAGCATCTGCTAAGGGAAAACACCGGACCGTAAAATTCGTGGCACCAGCAGTGGCTGAGCTTGTCGTGAATGGAGGCGTTCGTAGTCCTGACTGCTGCAGCCTCAGCTTCTCCGGAGCAGCGGCCAGCAATTAGATTGGAAAAGGCTTAGCCCTCAGCGTGTTGTATTTCTCCTCCCAAAGTGTTCGCATTTGGGGAGCTCCAGCTGGAGCAATTGAAAAATAATTTTTTAAAAAAGCCCTTCCCCAACGTGGACTTGGCTTGTTTAGGCACCACAATCCGGTTGGGGATAAACTACAACTTCAAGCCTGCACTCCAAGAGATAATGAGGCGAGTAAAAAAAAAAAAAAAAATCGCTCAAAACATGTTTTTTTTTTTTCCCTGAACGCGGCAATTAAAACAGAAAGTGCATCTGGGCAACAAATAACATAGCTTCATTTTCTGACGTTGGTGAGTACCGTGGGGTGGCACCTCCCATGCCATGGCCGGGCTGGTCCCACGGATGACATGAGGGCCACCAGGACTCCTGAGTCACCCTCCTTCCCTCCTCCTTTGTTCCCAGGAGCGGGACCGCCTTTCCTCTGCGGCCGAGGTCAGGCTGTGCAGCAGATGAATGGAGGCATGTTCGCCGCTGCATCACGCTCCCAGGGCTGCAGCTCCCAAGTAACTCTTTCACTGCCTTCGGGCAGCTGCCGCAGCACGCCCTGGGCTTGTGGCTCAGACTCAAATAGCCCCCTAGATGCTCATGGATGCTCAAGAAGCTTTCCTCCCGGGAAATAAGAAACACAGATGTCTTGCATAGGATATTTAGAGATTCCCTAAGCACATGTTAGGGTCCGTACTCTCATCCTGTTTGATTGGCATAGGTGTGCTGGAGCCTGCTAGACGGAGTGACAACCACATGGTTATTTTTATGCACACTTCAACCAAATTTCCTTTTCTTTCTGCTGCTCGAGAGGCGTTTTTGTAGAGATTGGTCTAGCAGAGTAAATGCCAAACCTCCAAATGCTGCATCAGGTGGAAGCTCCGTGTACCATGAGCTCATGGAGACGCCAGGAGCAGCTGGCGCAAGCTTCCCGCTGCAGCCCACACCTCTTCCTCCCATTGCTGTTAACTCAGGAAACCCTGCAAGCAGCACCGCTGCCTGTCAGCCCCTGCTGCCCCTCAGGCAGCCGGGAGAACCCGAACCCCTCCTGCCCTGCATGGCCCCGGGACCCCCACCTCTCCACGGAACAGAGGGCAGGGGCCAGGCACAGGAGCTCAGCAGCACAGTGGGGCTGCCCTCAGGGAATACACAGGAGACTGGTTTTCCCGAAGACCTCAGCCTGTAAAGGAGGGCAGCTGTTGCTCACTCACTACGGACTGGAAAAATGCAAAGTATGCGTTTTCTTTTACCCTTTTCCACTACAAAACATTTACTCCCCCCTCCCCCCTGTGCCTTT